AAAAAAAAAAAAAGAAAGAACTTTGAGACTATCAAATGAATAGATAAGTAACCCTAGTTCTGGTTGGTATAATAATTTCTAAGATAAAAAAGAGGTATCTTAAATGAATATTTCTAATAATTAAATATTTTTTAAGTTAAGAAGAATGTTAAAATTATTCCTGTCCTTTCTATCAATTCTATCTGTGACTTTGCTGATTATAAGAAATAACAAATCATTATGTTAAAGATTTATTTGATACAAACATAATTTTAAGTAAGAATTGAGTTTTTTTAATGATGTCAAGCTAACCATAATTAATAATTTGGGGCATGTCCTGTATATTGTAAGTGTATGTATGAATCTGTATTTTAAATACAAATGCTGTCCTTCAGTATGTACATTTTTCTATAGCAGTACATGTAGTTCTGCCTCTTTTTTTCCTCCGCTAAGGAGAGGGTCTTTCTCTGTCTCCCAGGCTAGAGGGCAGTGGCATCATCATAGCTCACTGCAACCTCAAATTCCTGGGGCTCAAGTGATCCTCCTGCTTCAGCATCTCAAGTAGCTGGGACTACAGTCATAAGCCACTGTATCCAGCTGATTTTATATATTTCTTTAGAGATGGAGTCTTGCCATGTTGCTCAGGCTGGTATCAAACTCCTGGGCTCAGGTGATCCTCCCACCTCTTCTGCCTCCAAAAATGCTAGGTTATAGTCATGAGCCACCGTGCCTGACCTAGTTCTGCCTCTTTTATGACTACTTAAAATTCATTATATAAAAAAATAAAATTTATTATGTACATCGTTCATGGTTTATTTAATCAATTTTCTGATGATGTATATTTATTTCTAATTTTTTTTTCCTATTACGTAAAGTGGTGCAGTGGACATTTTGTGTACATCATTACATGCACAATTATTTCTTTGGGATGAATTCCTAGCAATAAAACTATTGAAGCAAAAATATGTACTAGGTCAGTCATAAATTTTTATTTGTGTCTTTTATGAAATTGAACTACCAGAAGCTTACACCAGTTTATACTGCTGTCAACAACAGAGTGTCCATTTTGCTGCAATTCCCTAAAATTTCTAATTTTAAAAACATCTTTACTAACCTGACAGGTAAAATATTTCATTTCTACATACATTTTTTGGTGGGGTTATTGATGAATTTGGACATATTACAACAACATAAGAGCAGTGCCATTTCACAGGAGCTGATGACATGGATATAGAGCCCTTTGCCTCATGTGTGTTTCTTTGTCCATGTATTAATTTCCTGAAACTATGGGAGAGAAGGATCCTTCATGTTTCTAATAAGCAAGAGTTGTATATAAGTGCCCTATACTGATTCACCAAAAACAAATACAAAATAATGTTTATTTCCTTCATTAATACATATACCATTTAAGTGTTTCTGAATCTCTTTTTTTCTTTAATGTCCCCCAAGGAGGCTTTTAAGATATTTTTCCCTAATTTTCTTTCCCGTGATATTTTGATACCATAGATACACTGTACATTTATTTATGTACAGTGGCTCTTTGGAAGGCCACAAATATTATAATGTCTAAGTTTTTATTGGTCCCTCAAAGAACCTTCAGGTAATACTGCCCCCCATTGATAATGTATGGTCTGTGTGTGTGTGTGTTTTGATATATGGTGTGGGGGTGGGGGTGGCTATCCATGAATAGTTACTTGGGTTTCGTGGGACTCAAAGAAGTCCATATTTCTGCTACTTTGTCGGGTTGTCCAAAAGGAAACATAAGGTTCAATAATTGCCCTATTACTTCACCGGTTTTAACCATCACACTCTAAGTATAGTATGCAGATTCTCCCGTAGTATAGAATTATCTGGTTCAAAATGGTAGCACTGCTAAGTTTGAGAAACCCTGCCCTATTCTAGTGATTGTACATCTTGGAATCTTCCTTTAGAAAATGCTCCAAGTGATCCTGGTAATGTTACTGGGATTTTAGTCCGTGTATTTTTTAAGTGAGACATATGTTAGTATATGTAATTGTGAAAAATGGACAACAAACTTAACTCTTTGAGTCTTATGAAGAGATTTGATTTCAAAGAGATTTGAAATTACATGAATTTCAGGAAAACTAAAGAATTGGAACTTCTTTAGAATAAATAATGTGCCCATTTCACAGCAATTCTTTATATAACACCCTTCAACTTTTCTTTGCCCATCTTGGATCAAAGTAGTAAAAAACAATCCCAGGTATGGCCATTCACATTTGTGATCCTAGCACTCTGGGAGGATTGCTCACTGCTAGGAGTGTGAGACCAGCCTGGGCAACATAGTGAGACCCCATCTCTACAAAGGGTCATCAACTATATCAATAGCTCTTTAGTTCTTAGAAGAAAAAAAAAATCTTAAAAAATATGTCACTGTGTAAGTGGGTTAAATCTGAGGGTGGGTATAATGAATGTTTTTATATTATTCTCTTTTTCTTTGTCTTTGTAATACTACAAGATCGATCATATTTGTAAAGTAAATGTACTTTTAAAATTTGTTCATATTTGAACTGAGGCCAAATATAGAAAGACTTTCGTAATAGTCAAAATTTAGCAGCATGTATATAATGAAATAGAAGTGAATGACTGTTATAACTACAACTAGTTAACTACAGAAAATAAAATTACTTCTAAGGGCTTTTCTCTCTGTGTTTGGAATATTAGGTACTTTCAGAAGGCATTCAGGGTCTACTGAATGTTTTTTAAAGCCAGTGGTTCTTGTCATTACTTAAGCAATGATTGGGGTGATTGAGTATGATTTGTAATTCTACAAGATGACAAGTTAGGGATCCTTTCCATCCCCCACACCCTGTAAGCCAACGTGGAAAAACAAGCATCCTTAAAAAGAAGCCATATTTTGTATTCAGATTAACAAAATCCATTTATTCTTACTTAGAAATGTATTACTATGTCAGCCACTTGAAAAGGATATTTGCCTATTTCACAAATAATGAACATTGTAAGGTGTTTCATTTTGGAAGAATTATTTAAGACTAGTTAATGTTGCATTTGCATTGAAAATTTTTCTTTAAGATTTTTTTCTTTGAGATTTTAGACAACTGGGCTTTAGATTAGTAAAGGGTACTTTTTGACTTTGTTGTATCAAAAAAAAAATTTAACATGAACATTTCTTGTATGTTAAGTGGCACTACCAGCATAAGCCTAATTAAGCATATCTTTCTCTAGCTTGTGCCAGCAACTATCTTGTTATTTTTAAAAACTGCCATATGCACATCTGTTACAATTTACCCTAATAGAAGGAATTTTACTTGAGTTGATGGAATTGTCTTCTGACAAAAAATTGACTAGTTCATATAACTGCTAGATACTCTGTTAGATTATATTACAAGAAAATTATTTGAGATTTTGAGACCCTACTACTGAAGAGGACATTTCAAGGAGATGCTGGTCATTGCTTGGAAGAGATGCTGCCAGCTGTTAACTTGCCAAGGGGGTTGTTAGAAATTTATTTTAAGTAAGGAAAACATTGTGTAAAACCATCATGCAGTTAGGACATTTAAATTTCTTTAATTGATTCAATCTTTGGAAGATTAGATTTTTTAAAAAGGAATGGTGCCTAGTGTCACTAAATTTAGATTATGTTAAATAGGACATAAGGTCATTTTTCTGAAGTTGGGCGTTTAGTGAATTGTTACTGTTGATTCTATATTAAACCAAAGTTTCGGCCTGAAAGAAAAGGGACTCAGCTCAGAGTGCATTCTGCTTAGCAACCAGCTTGTTGTCTACTGTTTTGCTACTGAATGCACGTCCTCATGCTTCAGAAGTGTGTCTTCAGCCAGCTGGACTCAACCGGACAATACTTCATTCACCTAATTTCCAGACTAGTCAGGCAAAGACATTGTGTTTAGTCATGAGGAAATGTATTTGTAAACTTAAAGTAGTAGCACACTGACCTTAAAAGCCCCTGAACTATGAGAAATTGCCTTCTGGTTCAGGAATGTAAAGTCCTTGAAATTCAGAACTGATTACTTTTTTTTCTCTTTTAACACTTCCAAGTACACATATTCTTTAAAAAATATAGCTTCTAAAATCCTAGATGTGTTGAATTCTAATGATAAATTTAGGATTATCTTAAAATGAAAATTCACAAAAGCTTATTTGCATTCAAACTTTTATTGACTATCTTGATCTTCACATGATTATTTTCTCTCTTAGAAGACAACAGTTTTGTTGGCATGTGAAGCTCCGATTTCCTCAAAGTCAAGCTGAGTACACAGAAAAAAGGTACTATATTGCTACTAATCTATTAAGCAATAGATAGTATTGTATTTGTATTTACTTTAAATACAAAGTAAAGTATTTTGTATTTTAAATAAAGTTATTTATTTATAAGTTTATTTAAAATGAACTGTTAATGAAATGTATGTTAATAGAATGGATAGCTGAGTTGTGGTATATTCATACGTTGATGTGCTAAGTAACACTAATAGTGAATGAACTGTTAGTTCATGCACATCAACATGGATGGATCTCTGAAATAATGAGTGAGAACAGCAAGTTAAGGAAGACTTCATAGAGTATGATTCTGCTTGAAAATCTGAAAAAAAACTCAGAAAACTAAATAGTGTACTTTTTATGAATACCTACAACGTTGGTGGAGCTGACGCTAAGGAAAATTAACAAAGAAATCCTGATGGTGATCGCTTTAGCTATGCAGCAGATTTTAAGGAGAGGCATGAAAGGAGAATCAAGAGGGCTGAAAATTTTCTGTTTCCTAAGCTGGGTGGTTTGTATAAGAAATGAAAAATGACCCAAAATTTTACTATGCAAGGATTACTACTATTACTGTTACAGTGTATCACTCAGAGAATAAATTATTTTAGAAATTACGTATGTATACTCATGATTGGAATTAATTTGTATAGTGTTTTGTTCTACTTTTTTCATATTATTAACATTTTCAAGTGTCATCTAAAAATGTTAATGGTTGTGAATACTATTTGATTCCCTGGGTTATGAAAATTTTAAGTTGCTGTTTAAGTAGTATATTTAGTATATGTTCACATTATACATAAATGTCCTGTCTTTATCACATGGATTTTAGTGAAGTACTTTGTTATTTGAAGTTGTATAACTGACTAATGACGGGGAAAGGACTAACTTTACATATAGGGATATGTAGCCAGTGGTATAAATGAAAATGTATAAATGGTTGAGGAAAGTTCCTATTTTAAAAGTGTTTTAATTTTGTTTATACAGCTTTACATAAGTTTAAAACAGTTGTACATATATAAAAGAAAGTTGGAAAACTTAAAATGTTTTGTTTCCAAGAAAGTTGGTATCAATTGTTTAACCTGGTCTTATGATTTAGAATAAATAAACATTGACTGGAATTAACATCATCTGAAAAACTTTTCATATGTTTTATTTCTGCTAGTCTCAAATGTATTTCATCCTGACTTCTTTCTTTTTACATTTGAGAACAGGTGTGTATTAAAGGAAGCTTCATATTTTTACAATTGATTTATAAGAAGCTTCTCAAAATGTTATTTTTTAAGATCTTGTTAAGTATGTCCAAGAAGTCTTTTAGAGCTTTTTTTCCTAAGTAATTTTTGCTAAGAGGATGTTTTATTTTGCCAAGAGTAAAATAAAAAGTCTTTCTTCAGTTATTTAAATGAAGAAGTTGACAACATTTGGTAATTCTGATTTAACATTTTCAGCAGAAAATTATAAATAATAATGTAGCTATTTGTTTTTTCTTTGTTGGAAAGAGTACCAGATGATAAAATTATTAATGAAATCCTAAAACCTTACATTGATCCTGAAAAGTCTGATCCTGTAATTCGTCAAAGGTATGTGTTAAGAATCTTCTAATTTTATGAAGTAATTATAAATGATGAAGTACTTGTTATGTGCATATTTATTAAGTCAGTCATAAGTATAAGAATGTGTTATGTTGGTGTAATTTACTTTTTGTCCCACTTCACTGGTGTTTAGTAAAAGTCAGCGAGTAGAGGTGACAATAGTGCCTCCCACTCACTGTTCCCTGTGTTCCACACAGCCTTCAGGGTAATAATAATAATACAGGTGTTAATTCACTTAACCCTCACGATAACTTCATAAGGGAGATCGCTGTTGTTAATACGCATTTTAAAGATGGGAAACTGATCCTTAAAGTAGTTAAGTAACTTTTATATAGCTAATAAACAGGAAAGCAGAGATAAACACAAGCAGTCTAGAGTCAAAGTCTGTACTTTTAACCTTTAAACTAAAGTGCCTTTCAAGTTGAACCAAAAACTCTGAAAATTAAGTTTCTAAGTAATTGTTAAAGACAGGAAATCCTGTTTCAGCCAAATCTTCATGGAACTAAGTAAGGTACGCTCCACCTCTTATTCAGAAATGTAGCATGGACAAAAATAGTTAACGTAGCATAGTGGAAACATTCTGTCATGGGTATCTGGGTGAGAATAGCTGGTTCTGCCCCTTCTTAGCTGTGTGATTAAGAACAAGTTACTTAATTTCCAGGCCTTCATTTTTCCCATCAGTGAAATGAGAATGACAATGCCTCCTAGATAGAGTTGTTACAAAACTTAAAAGAAATAGCATATATTAAGTTCTTAGTGCAGGATCTCGCGTATAGTAGGCATTACTCAAAAAGAGGAAACTATTATTAGAGTGTGAGTTATTGGTGTTCCTGGGCAGAAACCCAGTTGACTTTATTTTCACCAGATGGTACTCGCTTGGAACATGAATGAATGCTTGCTTTGGTTCCAGAGAAACCTGGTGTTTAAAATTTAGAATGGGTGGATCTAAAACATCTGATCCACTTCTAATTAAATCTCATTCTTTCACTTTGGATGAAAAGCAGTCTCCTGACTGAACCAGGCCCATGTCGTATATCAGGCAGTGTCTTCAGGACAGTTAAGCAAGTTGAGTTTCTTTCCTTCTTCTAAGTAATAATATACTTATCATTAGTCATATACTTACCAGTTAGACAAAGCATGTCGTTACATTGCATACATTTTTAAAATAAATACGTAATATAGCGAGATTAATTTACTGAAACATATCTTTTAATTTAAGATGCTTCATTGAACAAAGAAGAAAGGTTATTTCTTTCCCCCAGATCTTTGTTAGAAAACATTTTTACGGCTCGGTGCCTATAGCTCAACCGGCTAAGGCGCCAGCCACGTACACCTAAGGTGGCAGGTTCAAATCCCCAGCCCGGACCCGCCAAAAACAACAATGACGGCTGCAACCAAAAAATAGCCGGGCGTTGTGGCGCGCGCCTGTGGTCCCAGCTACTTGGGAGGCAGAGGCAGGAGACTCGCTTGAGCCCAGGAGTTGGAGGTTGCTGTGAGCTGTAATGCCATGGCACTCTACCCAGGGGGACAGCTTGAGGCTCTGTCTCAAAAAAAGAAAAAAAAAAAGAAAGAAAACATTTTTACTTCCTTTTCTATATTTGAGTAGATGAACTTTAAGCATTATTAGCTAATCATAAATGTTTAGTCTTCTTTAGATTATCCTGAAATAATACTAAAAATCAGATTTGCTTTCTTCAATATGACGCTTTTATTTCAGATTGAAAGCCTACATTCGCTCTCAGACTGGAGTCCAAGTTTTAATGAAGGTCGAATATACACAGCAAAATTTAGTAAGGTAAAACTGTTTCCCTCCTGGTTTTTTAAAGTATTTTCTAATTATATAATTTAGGTTGATTGGCTTAAGTAGCAAGTTGTTAAATTAATTATCTGGCTATCACTATAACCTATGATTTTAAATATATTCTCAAGTCAAAATAATCACACTTCCAGGATAAATTAAGTTGAAAAATTACCTGGTTATGGCTTGGCGCCTGTATCTCAGCGGCTGGGGCACTGGCCACATACACCAGGGCTGCCGGGTTCAAAACAGGCCCAGGCCTGCTAAAACAACAGTGACAACTACTACAACAGCAAAAATAGCCGGGCACTGTGGCAGGCACCGGTAATCCCAACTACTTGGGAGGCTGATGCAAAAGAATCACTTAAGCCCAAGGGTTTTGAGGTTGCTGTGAGCTGTGAGACCACGACACTCTACTGAGGGCAACATAGTAAGACTCTGCCTCAAAAAAAAAAAAAATTACCTGGTTAGACTATTTTAAAATACGGGCATACATTGTTTTACTGTACATTACTGTGTTGCGCTTCACAGACATTGCATTCTTTACAGTTGATTATTTTTGGCAACCCTACCCCAAGCAAATCTATTGCACCATTTTTCCAACATGTGCTTGCTTTAGGTCTCTGTGTCACATTTTGGTGATTCTCACAATGTTTTAAACTTTTTCATTAGTATTTTATCTGTTGTGCTGATCTGTGATACATTAGTACCATGTGGTACTCCATGAACTGTGCTTAATAAGATGGTGACCTTAATTGATAAATGTATTCTGACTGCCTCACTGACCTGTCTGTCTCCCTCTTCTCAGACCTCCCTATTCCCCAAAACACAGTGATACTGAAGTTAAAGTAAACAGTAGCCGTTCGTGAGCAGCGCCTATAGCTCAGTGGGTAGGGTGCCAGCCCCATATACTGAGGGTGGCGGGTTCAAACCTGGCCCCCAGCCAAACTGCAACAACAACAACAAAAAAAATAGCTGGGCATTGTGGCAGGCACTTGTAGTCCCAGCTACTCAGAAGGCTGAGGCAAGAGAATCGCCTAAGCCCAGGAGGTGGAGGTTGCTGTGAGTTGTGACACCATGGCTCTGTACCGAGGGCAATAAAGTGAGCTCTGTCTCTACAAAAAAGAAAAGAATAGCCATTCGAGTGGAAGGAAGAGTTACACATCTCTTAACTTTAAATCAAAGCTAGAAAGGATTAAGCTCAGAGAGTAAAGCGTGTCCAGAGTTGAGGTAGGCTGAAAGCTAGGCCCCTTCTGCCAAACAGATAGCCACATTGTCATTGAAGAGGGCGAGTCTTGAAGGAAATTCAAGTCCACTCCAGCAAATAACACTTATTGTTTATTGCTAATAAGGAGAAAGTTTTAGTGGTCCGGATAGGTCAAATCAGCCACAACATTTTCTTAAGCCAAAACCGAATGCAGCTCATGGCCCTAACTCTGTTCAATTGTATGAAGGCTAAGAGAGGTGAGGAAGCTGCAGAAGAAAAGTTTGAAGCAAACAGTTGTTGGTTCATGAGATTTAAAGAAAGAAGCCATCTCCATAACCTAAAAGTACAAGGCAAAGGAGCAAATGCTGATGTAAAAGCTGCAGCAAATTATCAGGGAGATGCAGCTAGGATAATTGATTGAAGGTGGGTACGCCCAACCACAAAGAAGATGCCATTCAGGACTTCCATAGCTAGAGAGAAGTCAGTGCATAGTGCAGAGCTTCCAAGGCCAGGCCGACTCTCTTCTTAAGGCTAATGCAGTTAGTTGGTAACTGTTTAAGTTGAAGCCATTGAGTTAATCTTCATTTACCATTCCAAAAATCGTAAAGCCCTTAAGAACCATGCTAATTATACTTAGCCTGTGCTGTATAAATGGAATAACAAGGCCTGGATGACCCCACATCTGTTTATTTTCAGCCCACCATTGAGACCTACTGCTCACTCAGAAAAAAATATTTCTTTCAAAATATTACTGCTCAGTGACAATGTTGGAGAGTTCTGATGGAGATATGCAAGAAGGTTAATATTGGTTTCATGCCTACTAACACAGCATTAATTCTGTAGCCCATAAGTCAAGGAGTAATTTCAACTTTGTAGTCTTACTATTTGAGAAATATGTTTCGTAAGGCTATAGTTGCCGTAGACAGTGATTCCTCTGATGGATCCAGGCAGAGTAAATTGAAAATCTTCTAGAAAGGATTTACTATTCTAGATGCATTTAAAAACAATTGTGATTCATGGGAAGATGTCAGATTATCAACTTTAACAGAAGTTTAAAAGAAGTCAGTTCCAACCCTCATACATAACTCTCAGGGGTTTAGACTTCAGTAGAGGAAGTTATTACACAAGTGGTTGACATAGCAAGAGAACTAAAGTTAGAAGTGTGTGCATGTCCTTATATTTCTGATCATTAAGTCAACCAGAGTAGGTATCCTAATTTCTAATGAACTTTCCAGTTTTATTAGTATTTTCTAATTATGAATAATGAAACTATACTATGGAGATATATTTAGGCATAGATTTTTATTTATTTTTTAATAAGATTTTAAATCACAATATTCTCCATAGAATACATTCATGTTTAGGCTAAGATGAACATTTACACTTGATTGCATACATAATTACAGTTACATCATTAAAGTACATCCAGAGAACATCTAAGGAAGATTATTACAGGTTATAAAATGTTAGGCTCTAATTTAAGATAAGCATTCTAAATGGGAGGATTTTATTATTTCCTGGAAAGTGCTTAGAAGGCAGAAACATCTAGTTTCCTTGTAGTGGTTTGATTTTAAATGTGTCCTATGGTTTAGAGCATTTCAGTAACTTCAGAGTAAAGTCTTACCAGATACTTGGTGTTGCCAGTTTCCCCTGATTTTGTTTTCCATTCTTGGAGGGTTTATGGCAGTTGTCTTACATATCTGATGAGCTAGAGCAAGCTTAAATTTTTCTTAAATTTGAGCTATTTCTTACTTGACTTTTACTTTTAAATTATGACCATAGAATGTATGTCTAGCTAACTCTAAGGAATTTGCTCCTGAAATATTTGGGAGTTTTCTTTCCAGAATACATAGGGTTTGAATTTGTCTCTTCTTATAAAAACTTATATAGCTTTTTAAATGAATTCGTTTATTCATTCATCAGACATCTAGTATGTACCCACTGAGGTCTGGATACTATTCTAGACACTGGGGCTGTGGGAATAAATAAAAGTGTTCCTTCCCCTGTGGACCCTGTATTCCCAGTGGAGAAAATCATTCACATCAGATACTTGTGTTGGTAAAACTACCCTTGCCCTCTTGCCACATTTTCTTACCAACTTTCAGAATGTAACTGTGTGCTTAGAAACGTTCTCAGAAAGTAAATGAGTGCTTTTGAACCAGAAAAGCCTCTGTTGCTAATGCCAAGTACCGTCAGAGGGCAGCTTTTGTATTGTTACTTATGCTATTGACTGAAGAATTTATAAAACTGCAAACTTTGATTCTGTTCATTTAAGTATAATTTTCCAAATAAGTTTAAATTTTTTAAGTCTAAATGTTACTTTTACTAATTAATAGAATTATTTACCATAAAGAAGTTCAGATGTATTTTCTCTTCTTTACATTTACTTTGCTGCTTTGATGTTCATAAACAATCGTGGTTTTGGTGATTTAAGCAGATGTAGGATGATTCTTTCCGACTTCTTCTGTAAATGACCGTATAGTAAATATTTTTGGCTGTGTGGGTCATATGTTCACAATTAATCAATTTTGTCATTGTAGTTGGTGAGCAGCTATGGACCACATAGGTGAATGGGCATGACTGGAATGTGTTACAGTAAAACTTTATTTATGGAAACAGACATTGAGCTGGATCTAAAGAATATTTTTTTCCTGCTTTAAAGAATTTTTTCATCGGTCATTTCTAATTTTATATCATTTAACCAGTTGGGGTCTTCAACCCTCTAAATATATAAAAATGACAGATAGATTGTTAACAGGGCCCAGTAAAATTTAAAGTCACTTCACATAAACTAGCACCTGCTCAGAGGTCAGGCTTTTTGACACATGAACTCAGCCTGGAGTATCAGTCAGTTAAGATTGATCAAATCTGTATACTATATATTTCATTTATTCAGTTAATATTCCTTGAGCTCCTTTCATATGGCAGCACAGTATCAAACCCTAAGAATACATAGACACCTAAAAGACTAGCCCTCAGAGAGCTCACAGTCTCAGTAGGGAGATGGATATGTGGTAAATACCACAGGAGGTATGTATTAAAATGTAAGGCATAAAAGGTACCCAGTGGAGGGCATGGACTTCTTCATGAACACTTCTCTCTGAACACTTCAGACATGTTTTGTTTTGTTTTGTTTTGTTTTTGAGACAGAGCCTCAAGCTGTCCCCCTGGGTAGAGCGCTGTGGCATCACAGCTCACAGCAACCTCCAACTCCTGGGCTCAAGTGAGTCTCCTGCCTCTGCCTCCCAAGTAGCTGGGACCACAGGCACCCGCCACAACACCCGGCTATTTTTCGGTTGCAGCCATCGTTGTTTGGCGGGCCCGGGCTGGATTCGAACCCGCCACCTTAGGTGTATGTGGCTGGCACCTTAGCCACTTGAGCCACAGGCGCTGAGCCTGACATACCATGTTTTGATGGAAGGATAAACCAATTGCCTTCATGCTGCTTCCAAAAATTGGCATACAAAGCCAGGCGCTTAGATATAAACCAAAACCAAAATTAAAGCAGTATCTAGGCTTTGATTTCATGAGTATCACAGAAAATTATCACCCTCATGAAGCACACTACTTTATTGTACTTGCACAGACTCTATTGGTCGTTTCCTGCTATGCTTGTTTCAGTGAATAATTTTGGAACACTTTTTGTTTGAAAAGCAACAGCAAAATTATGAGCTATTTCTCTTGGATGATTTTATTTCCATGCTGAGAGGATGTTTTTAAATAAAAAAAAAACTAAAGTTACTTTACTTTTTTTGGATCTTGATGGATTTTTAATGTGAAATATTTTAAA